AGCACAACACTCAGAAATTCAGTTTTTTGTCTTATATGACAAAGAGAAGCTTTTGCTTTTTGCTCTCCTACACACTGATCCGAGGTCATCAGTGATTTTCCTTTTAATCCAGTAACCCATGTCTCTTTATCAGTTATTTGAAGTTTGCAGTTAAAATGTACAGTGAGTACAGCGCAGTAGAGTAGATAGGAACAGACAATCTTTCAGAGCTAGTGGAATGGAGCAGAGAGGAAACGATTCGCTAAGGAGAAAATCATGTTAAAAATCATGGGTTTTTCAGCCTACAGTGGAATATGGGAAGTGACTCAGCTGTTCTGACTGCAGCTGTAATGAAACGGGGCGGACACCTACACAAAGAAAATTGCTTCAATGTTAAAAAAACAAATTGGATACGATTGTCATAAGCACAAGAACATGTAACGGCAACAAATGGTGTATGAGGGTTTGCAAAGTGCTGTAGTGATATATAAGATTGCTATATAGTGTATGTGTGTGTGTGTGTGTAAAACTATATACTAGGAAGAGATAATAATATGCCACAGAGGGCCAAGAGTATGCAGGGTTTTATTCTGACACCTTCGCTCTTGGCACTCAGTGGCACATAGTTGTCAATCCTTGTCATATATGTTGTCATCCTATGGTGATTATAGCCATACTGAATATCTACAATTTAGCATTTTCCCACCACATTAAGAACAAATCCATCAAAGATAAAAAGCTATTCACACAGTATTTTTTACTTTTAGTAGAGCTCCTCACAAGACAAACTGCTGCAATCACAGGGGAGGACTTTTATGGAGTTAAGGAGGAGAGAAAATGGCTGCAGGAGAGAAAAAGAGCAGAAAAAGTTCTTTAAACACTGTTTTAAACCCAAGTGTTACAGATTACATTGTGCATGGATGGTATTTATGGCTGATCTTAACCTCAGTAGAGCTGTGATTTTTATTTCCTACTCAATGAATCAGAGCAGCACAGCAGTAACAGTGTTTCACAGCCTCGATTAATTTAATTTCCCTCGTGACCTTGCAAGCTGACAAAACAGCAATTACGGATATATGTAGATACTTTACGAGTGTTGTCTTAATCATAGATGGCACATGAATCCACATTATGGGCAGTCTAGTCCTAATAGTTTTGTTATTATACTGCCTTATGGATTTTGTTTTAAAACAACCAAATCCAACCAGTTCCTCTCTGTGTCTTATATTGAGTAGAGTGTGATATCATGTATTGTCAACTACGCGTCTGTGCACCAATGCCACATCATTTATTAGCCCCAAAATGGGACACTGCCACTTCCCAGCAGAGTCCCATTCGCCATTTATTTCCCCAGGATAGTAAAGTCATTACCCACCAAACTCTGACAAAGGGTTTAACCTGAGCCAGGCGCCATACAACAATCATACAGCAGTATACGTAGTATATGCTTGTTGGCTGATATGCAAAGTTCAGGGATCAGAATCGGTATTAGGTAAAAAAAAAAAAAGGTATCTCAACATCTCTAGACAGTCCACTTTTGGATAACTTTTGGATAACTTGGGGATAAATGTTGTGCCGATACATTTCACTGGCAGCTCTGCCATGAGAAGTAATGTAAGTAGGTACTAGAAACTAAATGTGTGTGGTGGAATTTCATATCCAATATAGTCTAAAATACAAGTAAACCTGAAACAAGCCTGAGCTCAGACACTTTATATGTAGGAAAATGTGTGTGGGAAAGTTTGTTTGGGAGAAAGGAAATTGAATTTGAAGCTTTAAGTGCAAAAATGGATCTTTCATAAGGCACTAGCACAGCAGATGTTTACAGAGGAAATAAACAACAAGCCAGAGACTCAACCTGAGATTACACAAACATCTGAGGGCGCATTATTGCACAATTTACACACTCAAACACACATTATTGTCAAGTCCAGACATTTTAAAGCGTAAGTCCCACGCTCATCTGAGGCGTGCTGTAACTGTACACTGGTCACTAATCACAAACATCACAAAATGAACCCCACTGACAGCTCTGAGAGTGGCACGACACAAAGTGCAGGCCTAGAAGTTTCCAACTAGCCATCTCTCATCACTTGTGAATGGGTGTGTGTGTTTGTGATTTGGACGTGTATATTGCACGTGTAGGTGCACGTGTGCTATACATGTGCAAATTGTTACAAGTTAGAGTTTATTATTAAAATATTATTATTAT